GTGCCTTTTTTTTAGAGGTTTTTTTTTTTCTTGAAAAAAACATCTAATAGTTAAATCATTCTCCCATATATTCATGTTAACTCTGTTCTTAAAAATTTTTATGGCATTATAATAAACATGAAAATTCGATCTTTTTCATCCTTCTATAAGTTCATATTGCTTTTTTCATATACCTTTCTTATATTTGTGTCGAGAAAAGTATTAAGTCAGGATTCATGCCACCTATCGCCAATCAAACCAAATAAACTTATTGGATATTATCCCGCTTATAAACTTAATTTAACACCGGGGGTGGATTTTAATGTCAGCACATCAATTGATTACTTAAACTTTATTGGTATGCGAAATTAAAGTTTAATTCTATTTAATTACAATTAAGTTTAATAAATTATTATTTATATAGCATTTGGTCCAAATGATCTTGTTAATAATGCCAGAAATAATCTTTCTGGTGGTGACCCATTTGCATTTTTTAACAGACAATCTTCCAAGTTTAGTCAATTGAAAGATTATAAAACAAAAAATAATCTAACATTTAAGGTAGGTAACAAATATTAAATCTACATTAAAGACTTAATAACGTTAATAATAATAGTACTATGTTATAGATAATTCTATCAGTCCTGCTACCTACTGATAGGAATAATTTAACTGGTTTCTTTAATCTTAATAATTCGGTATACAATCCGAATAGCTATCAAAATCTTAAATTCGTTAATGATTTAGTTAGTATTGTTACTACCGGTACTAATGGTTTTGACGGAGTAAGATTACCTAATTTTTTATTTTACATTGTCTGTGATTATTTGGATGAAAACCAGTAATTCTTGAATTTCGGATTTAACACTAACGGAATAAGCACCGAAGAATAATATATTGTTACATTATTTCGTCATATTAATATTGATGTTGAATCGATATCATTAGATTTTTCAAAGTTCGGTAAGCCCGTGTCTTGTGAAATGAAACATCCGAAAATCAAGGATTCTGATTTTCCCTTGGCGGCATCCATTTATTAAATAATTAAT